CTTCTACTGCTGCCACACCTCTCTACTCCATTCCATGCCAATGCTGTTGGTAGACTCTTCTATTTATTTTTTAAAAGATAACTTTTGGCCGGGCATGGTGGCTCATGCCTGTAATCCCAACGCTTTGGGAGGCCACGAAGGATGGATTTTTGAGGCCAGGAGTTTGAGACTAGCCTGACCAACGTGGCAAAATCCTGTCTCTACTAAAAATACAAAAATTAGCCAGGTGTGGTGGCACATACCTGTAATCTCAGCTACTTGGGAAACTGAGGCAGGAGAATCACTTGAACCTTGGAGGCAGAGGTTGCAAGTGAACTGAGATCATGCCACTATGTGCTAGCCTGGGTGACAGGGTGAGACCCTGTCTCAAAAAAATAAAAATAATGTAAAGGAGAACTTTTTTACTACTATTATAAAATCCTTGAAAGTACATCTGAAGTCTTCCATTAGTTTGAATATCCCATGTTAGATATACAGTTCTCAAATAGGGCGGAGCTCACATATTTGAACATTTTCTTCTGCTCCTCCCCAGACTCTGTTCCAGCCTCAGACAGGTGCCTATCAGACCCTGGCCAAAGAGTGTGTGGCCCAAGGCTGCTGTATAGATCTCTTCCTCTTCCCTAACCAGTATGTGGATGTGGCCACACTTTCTGTTGTGCCCCAGCTCACTGGTGGCTCTGTCTACAAATATGCTTGCTTTCAGGTATGATGTAGGATTCTGGGTGGCAGGTGGCAGCAGGGCTGGGAATATCTGCTTATATATGGAGTGGTTGACTCATTAATCAAAATAGTGTTGGGGCCGGGCATGGTGGCTCACGCCTGTAATCCCGGCACTTTGGGAGGTTGAGACAGGCAGATCACCTGATGTCAGGAGTTCAAGACCAGACTGGCCAACGTGGCGAAACCCCATCTCTCCTAAAAATAAATTAGCTGGATTTGGTGGTGGGTACCTGTAATCCCAGCTACTTGGGAGGAAGGGGCAGGAGAATCCCTTGAATCCAGGAGGCAGAGGTTGTGGTGAACCAAAACGATGCCATTGCACTCCAGCCTGGGCCATAGAGTGAGACTCTGTCTCCAAAAAAAAAAAAGAAATAGTGTTGGAAGACAAGACCAAATAGTGTAAAGAAATGAGTCTGAGAATGCAGCAGTTAGGAACATGGGCCTTGGAATCAGTCTTGCATTGATATTCTAGCCCTACCAGTTACTAGCTACATGACCTAGGATAAATTACTTAAGTATTCCCTCTTTTGTTCCTTCATCTGCAAAATGGGGTTAAAATACTTAATTAGAATTTGTGTACAGAATTAAATAATCATATATAAAGCATTCTGTGGTACCTGGCATGCAGTCTAAGTGTTGAAAAGCTATTATTGTCATCATCATTATCTTTACTGTTATTATGATAATAATTAAGTGGCCTTGTAGAGTAGAAGGGGTACAGGGAGATTGTCCACAGGCTGAGCTATGTTTAGTCAGTGATATGACTCTGGGCCTGGGGGCCTGCAGGTGGAGAATGACCAGGAGCGGTTCCTGAGTGACCTGCGTCGTGATGTCCAGAAGGTTGTTGGCTTTGATGCTGTGATGCGGGTCCGGACAAGTACTGGTCAGTCCTGGTTGGAGAAGAGCAGGTGGGGGGCTAAATCTGGGAGGGAGGCATGTGGCACTTGTCATGTTTTGCCCTGACCCTGTCCATTTGGCCTCAGGTATCCGTGCTGTAGATTTCTTTGGAGCTTTCTACATGAGCAACACGACAGATGTGGAGCTGGCTGGGCTAGATGGGGACAAAACGGTGACTGTGGAGTTCAAGCATGATGATCGGCTCAATGAAGAGAGCGGAGCCCTCCTGCAGGTGGCAGGCGGGAGGCGGGGCTGGGCAGGAAGTGTGTAATTAGCTGGGTGTAGAAGAAGGTGAGGCGTGGATAGAGAGGACTGGAAGAGACTGGGCAGGGGAGTGGCTCATTTCTTGTAGTTTAATAATGTGGCAAAGGGCCTTTGTGAGGGAGGCATGTGAGTTTCCCCTTTTTCCTTTCCCCTAGTGTGCCCTGCTTTACACCAGCTGTGCAGGGCAACGTCGGCTCCGCATCCATAACTTGGCCCTGAACTGCTGCACCCAGCTGGCTGATCTGTATCGAAACTGTGAGACTGACACGCTTATCAACTACATGGCCAAGTTTGGTGAGGGCAGAGGCAGGGAATGGTGGGACTGGGGCCGAGAGGTCAGGATGGTCAGTGGGTAGTTGTGATGGTAGGAAAGCACATGTGATGGCTGGCTGACCAGTGACTATCTTCACTTTCCCATCCAGCATATCGGGGAGTCCTGAATAGCCCTGTGAAGGCTGTTCGTGACACTCTCATCACCCAGTGTGCCCAGATTCTGGCCTGTTACAGAAAGAACTGTGCTAGCCCCTCCTCTACAGGACAGGTGGGGCAAGTATATTAGTGGGAGGTGGGCATGTTGGGAAAGATGTTTGCATTTGGGAAGGATTTCTCATGATCATTGACTTTATTTTGATAACCCCCTCAGTTGATCCTTCCTGAGTGCATGAAGCTACTCCCAGTATACCTGAACTGTGTGTTGAAGAGTGATGTCCTGCAGCCTGGAGCTGAAGTCACTACTGATGACCGTGCCTATGTCCGACAGCTAGTTACCTCCATGGATGTGGCTGAGACCAATGTCTTCTTCTACCCTCGGCTCCTACCTTTGGTGTGATTGAGGGTTGGAGTATGAGATCTTGCACGGAGCAAAGGGCCTCTTAGGAGGAGGAAAGGATAGGCTAATATCTGACACTAGTGGAATTTGTTTTTATGTATTTTTAGCTGATACAGTTTTCACACTGACAGTTACTAAGACCCCATAAGGGGTGGTGTCTGAGGACTTAGCTTTTAGAATTTTGTGTGGGTGGGGGGCAGACTTGTCTTACAGTTCTTAGTAACCCTTTGCTTCCCTCCTTTTGCCTAGACAAAATCTCCCATTGAGAGTACCACCGAACCACCAGCAGTTCGAGCCTCTGAAGAGCGTCTAAGCAATGGGGATATATATTTGCTGGAGAATGGGCTCAACCTTTTCCTCTGGGTGGGAGCAAGTGTCCAACAGGGTGTTGTCCAGAGCCTTTTCAGCGTCTCTTCCTTCAGTCAGATCACCAGTGGCTTGGTGAGATCAGGGAGTCACAAGGAGAATATGGGTGTGGAAGTATACTTTGTGAAATGATTGGGAGCCAATAAAGTTAATATGCTAGTCCCCTCAAATATCAGGGAACACTTGGGGATGAGGGCAGTTGCTGTCATTCTTCCCAGGCTTCCTTGTTTCAGATGATGCATAGTTATGTGCCTCCCCACCTTTACTGCAGAGTTCCTTACCATAAGGATAAATGAATTTTGTGTTCTAGAGTGTTCTGCCAGTTCTGGATAATCCACTGTCCAAGAAGGTTCGAGGCCTCATTGATAGCTTAAGAGCACAGAGATCACGGTACATGAAGGTAACACTGATCTGAACCCTGGATTTCTTACCTTGTCAAGTCCTCACCTGGAAGTGGGGGTGGGGTAGGGAATGAATAAGTGACTACATAATGGGATTTCTGGGCATGTTTAATTTCCTTTGGCCTTGCCTCATGAAGCCTGCATTCTGGCCATAGCTTATCGTGGTGAAACAGGAAGACAAGCTGGAGATGCTGTTCAAGCACTTCCTGGTGGAAGACAAGAGTCTGAGTGGGGGAGCATCCTATGTGGACTTTCTCTGTCATATGCACAAGGAAATTCGGCAGCTACTGAGCTAAAGCAAGTGGGTAAATGGCATAGGGTCCCAGGCCAGCTTCCAGAAAGCACCCCAGGATGTCAGCGAAATTAGGACAGTACCATATCTTATGTCATGTAAGCCGACCTCAGTCTCTTTGCGGGGAGGGGGAGATAAAAGGAGACACCTCCTTTCTGGGCTCAAATATCCTACCACTCTGTCATGTCCTGCTGATAGAAGGTGCCCCTGTTCCCTCAGTTTACCCTCCTTTTCCTGCTAATCCTGTCATAATGAATGTAGTTTCTCAGTTCACTGTTTATGATTCGGTATTGGGTTTGGAGGCACCCAGACCCTGGCAATATTAAGTGTCCCTATGGACCAGCCTCCAAGAAGAGAGGGGCAGGCAGGAAAGAGTGGGCATCCTAAGGTTACTACAGGGGTGGCTAATTCAGCTCAGTGTCATCAACAACTTCCTATATTAGGGATAAAACATACAGGTGCACAAGAGCTGGAGTATAGCCCATTGGTGGTGGAGAGAAAAGTGGCCAGTCCTTCTTGGGCCTGGAGGTTAGCAGTCAAGTCAGTCACAGGGTGGTTGTTTCTCTGCTTCCACTGCTCGCTTGCTTGCTCTCCTGCAATGATGATTGCTCCATGGATAGAGAGGCACACTGTCAGAGATGAATGACCTGAGACCTGACTTGCAAAATACATTAAGACCTGGGAAAGGTGCCAGCCTCCTTTCCAGCTGGACAGGCCCCAACACTGGAGGGTTCTGTAGGGAGCCTGGTCATCAACTTGCAATACCTCACAGAGCCAGTTCACGTCCCACTCTGAGCTCCCACAAGAAACACTGCATCTCCAGGCCCGGGGTTGTTGGGGAGAGAGGCAGAGGCAGCTGGAGCGCCGTTCCTCTCCCACCGGGACACCGCTTGGGCTTTGGTATTGACTGAGTGGCTGACAGTTACCTTCCAACCCCAACTGGCTGGGGGCAGGACAAGGGCTAGGCTTGATGGTGGCCAGGCTTGCCTGCTCCCCGCCTGGGATGCCCCTGCTCTGGACCTGTCATTTCTCTTCATTGGTTTATTTTTCAATGCATCTTTAATTTGTAAAGAAATAAATTAAGATGTAACCATTAGCCTCCTCTTTATTGCCAAAAGCTCACTTTGCTTTTAGCCCTGGCCGTCGGCTGAGCGGAGCTGCGCGTGCGCCGTGTGCCCCAGTGGCGTAGGACCTCGTTCCATCACGACTCGCCGCTGGGCGGGGTCCCGCGCTGGCCGAGGGCGCCGGCTGCCCGAGTGGACATGGCGGACGGCCCCACTGGGGCGGTACTGGCCCTCCTGGGGGTGTTCAGTGTCTATGCAGCCAGCGGCTCTAGGCCCGTCGTGGAGAAGGAAACCGGCGGGGAGGCGGAACCATGGGATGGCGCGGTTTTCCGGCCGCCGTCGGCGCTGGGCGCGGTGGGGATGACGCGCAGCCCCAGGACCCAGCGGCCAGGGAGGGAGGAGGCAGGGGATTTGCCAGTGCTGCTGTGGTGGAGCCCAGGGCTGTTCCCTCACTTCCCGGGAGACTCGGAGCGCATCGAGTGTGCGCGCGGGGCGTGCGTGGCGTCCCGGAACCGCCGAGCGCTGAGGGACTCGCGGACGCGCGCGCTGCTCTTCTACGGCACCGACTTCCGCGCGTCTGACGCGCCGCTGCCGCGCCTGGCACATCAGAGCTGGGCGCTCCTGCACGAGGAGTCGCCCCTTAACAACTTCTTGTTGAGCCACGGCCCGGGCATCCGCCTCTTCAATCTTACCTCCACTTTCAGTCGCCACTCGGACTACCCGCTGTCGCTGCAGTGGCTGCCCGGGACCGCCTATCTGCGCCGCCCGGTGCCTCCGCTCCAAGAACGCGCGGAGTGGCGCCGCCGCGGCTACGCGCCGCTGCTCTATTTGCAGTCTCACTGCGACGTGCCCGCGGACCGGGACCGCTACGTGCGCGAGCTCATGCGCCACATCCCGGTAAGTGAGGGCAGGCTGGAGGAGACTGAGCGCGGGGGGCGGGGGTGGGCGCGGGCTGAGGCCATGACTCTAAGTGTTTATGCCTCCCGGCCGCACGCTCTTAACCACCCTACTCTACCCGTTCCAGGTAGACTCCTACGGGAAATGCCTGCAGAATCGGGAACTGCCCACTGCGCGGCTACAGGACACAGCCACGGCTACCACTGAGGATCCAGAGCTCTTGGCCTTCTTGTCCCGCTATAAGTTCCACTTGGCCCTGGAAAATGCTATCTGTAACGACTACATGACAGAAAAACTGTGGCGTCCCATGCATCTGGGCGCTGTGCCCGTGTACCGGGGCTCTCCCTCTGTGAGAGACTGGATGCCGAACAATCACTCCATCATCCTGATTGATGATTTTGAGTCTCCTCAGAAGCTGGCAGAGTTTATTGACTTCCTGGACAAGAATGATGAGGAATATATGAAATACCTGGCATACAAGCAACCTGGGGGCATCACCAACCAATTCCTTCTGGATAGTCTGAAGCAACGGGAGTGGGGATTGAATGATCCTTTGCTGCCTAACTACCTCAACGGCTTCGAGTGTTTCGTCTGTGACCACGAACTGGCTCGGCTAGATGCCGAGAAAGCCCACGCGGCCTCTCCCGGCGACAGTCCTATCCCTGAGCCCCACATTGCCCAACCCTCACACATGGACTGCCCAATGCCCACACCTGGCTTTGGCAATGTGGAAGAGATTCCTGAGAATGACAGGTAAGAGTCCTGGGGTCCCCTGCGGCCATCAAATCATTTACTTACTTGCTTACTGTGGGCAATGAACTAGCACTGGGTGCTGAGTAGGTGTAGGAGGAAATTATGACATGGGCTCACTCTGCCTTTAAGGTGTCAACAGTCTAGTTGGGGGGATAAGGCAAACTGAAAAAGCTGAATAGATGTAAAATATAATCCAAGGCAACAACATATGAAAATCAGCTTAAGTAGACAATGTTTCCAGTAGTGGTTCAAAAAAGGATTGAACCAGAGCACAGGGCCTGTGCACAGAGGTGATAAGGGAGAGAGAAAATGGGGCAAATAAATAGGGCCAGGCTATAAGTATCATGAATACCATGCTCAGGAGTTTGGACAGTGCTAACAATCAACTCAGCTATTTGAGCACCTTTTATAGAGTGGAAATGGGAGTGGGGAGTAGAGATCATTTTTAGGGAGGCTTTTCTGCAATAGTCAGGGCTTACACCTGTTAATCAGGCCTAATTTTTTTTAAGCGGCTGTGCTGAGGATGAGCCCCTTGTGGTTGGTGCATGTGAGGACACCCTGCCTGTGTAACTAGAAAAGCCAGGCATGGCTGGGCACGGTGACTCACGCCTGTAATCCCAGTACTTTGGGAGGTCAAGGTGGGAGGAACACTAGAGGCCAGGAGTTCCAGACCAGCCTGGACAATGTCACAAGACCCTGTCTCTACAATTTAAAAAATGAAATAAAAGCCGGGAGCGGGGGTTGGTGCATGTCTGTAGTCCTGGCTACTTGGGAGGCTATGGCTGGTGGATTGCTTGAACACAGGAGTTCAAGGTGATAGTGTGCCAGGATCATGCCACTGCAGCCAGGATTGGAATAAGATTCTGTTTGTTTCTGTCTCTCTTTCACACACACACAATGGTGTGCATTGTGCATCAGAGGGGAGCGAATAGGCTACTGTAGTAGGTCGCAAAAGGTGGTGGTATTGGGAAACAAGGCCAGCATGAGGTGTGGGGTGGGAAAATGTTGAAGCCACTTGCAGCAAGCCACACCTGTTGGGTGAGGTGATAAGATTATTAAGCTGAAGTAAGGCTGCTAGAATGGCTTCCTGAGACCAATTTGGACAGTGGATGGCAACAGAAGACCATTTATTAATATATGCTGCTGGCAGTTTTGTCCTGATGGTTGGAATCCTTCACCAAATAATTTGTATCTAATTACAAATTATGGCCGGGCACAATGGCTCAAGCCTGTAATCCCAGCACTTTGGGAGGCCGAGGTGGGTGGATCACGAGGTCAAGAGATCGAGACCATCTTGGTCGACATGGTGAAACCCCGTCTCTACTAAAAATACAAAAAATTAGCTGGGCATGGTGGTGCATGCCTGTAATCCCAGCTACTCAGGAGGCTGAGGCAGGAGAATTGCCTGAACCCAGGAGGCGGAGGTTGCGGTGAGCCGAGATTGCGCCATTGCACTCCAGCCTGGGTAACAAGAGCGAAACTCGGTCTCAAAAAAAAAAAATTACAAATTGTTTGTATCTGAATATAATATGACTTACTAGAGGGAAAGTATGAAAAGATGTAAAACATTGGCCAGGTGTGGTGGCTCACGCCTATAATCCCAGCACTTTGGGAGGTCAAGATCGGGACCATCCTGGCCAACATGGTGAAACTCCGTCTCTACTAAAAATAGAAAAATTAGCCAGGCATGGTGGTGCACGTTTGTAGTCCCAGTTACTTGGGAGGCTGAGGCAGAAGAATCACTTGAACTGGGAGGTGGAGGTTGCAGTGAGCCAAGATCACGCCACTGCATTCCAGCCTGGTTACAGAGCAAGACTCCGTCTCAAAAAAAAAAAAAAAAAAGTAAAATACTAAGAAAATAAATATTCAGCTTATGTCTTTTCTTGATACTAGATGCCACTTCATTTTGATGCACCTTCATTTTGATTATTGGGGTAAAGGTGAAACTTAAGAGATAATCATCTAAAGACCACTGCCCCCTTGCTTTCCTTAGGAAGACCACTTCCAGTCTGGTCTCTGCTTTGCCTGTCTCTGAACTCCCTCCACATTTGGGAGCTAGAAGAAGCAGGCAAGTCAGGAATTGTAATTCATTGGGTAGGCTGTGTGATCTATTTGTGTTTGTGGCTTACTGCCTGTTGCTTGGGCTAATACTGGATTTACTTCACATTGTCTTCCCTTCACAGCAGTCTTGTCCAAGTTAGGGACCACTGTATCTGTTTAAGATTTCTTTGGCCCTGCTCAGAGAAAGGCAGGACTCATAGCTATGCTGTAGTTCCATAATCCAACCCTCATTTTGGTATTTCAGTTGGAAAGAGATGTGGCTGCAAGATTACTGGCAAGGTCTGGACCAGGGAGAAGCTCTCACTGCCATGATCCACAACAATGAAACACAGCAGAGGAAATTTTGGGATTACCTACATGAAGTCTTCATGAAAAGGCAACATCTCTAAGTGCCCTTGCAAGAGCCTTTAACTTGGTGGATTGATTTTATTCTACAATAGGACATAAGGAGCATCCACCTCACAAACCCTTAATGGACACTGTCTTTTCATGGATTCAAGGAATTCTACTTTTATCTATTAAAATTTTATCTTAATGATGAGTAGCCAAGGTCTAACATGGGGCTTCTCCTCAAGGAGAGATGAAGACATACAATTCTTGGTTCACTGGGAAACAGAAGCTTAAAACATCCATTTGATTCAAGGTGCTGGTCCAACAGTTGTTTTGTTTTGTTTTGTTTTCAGATGGAGTCTCGTTCTATCCCCAGGGGCTGGAGTGCAGTGGTGTGATCTTGGGTCAGTGCACCCTCTGCCTCCCGGGTTCAAGCAATTCTCCTGTTTCAGCTTCCTGAGTAGTTTGGGATTACAGGCGTGCTTCATCACACCTGGCTAATTTTTGTATTTTTATTAGAGACCGGGCTTTCACAATGTTGGTCAGGCTGTTCTTGAGCTCCTGACCTCGTGATCCGCCTGCCTCCGCCTCCCAAAATGCTGGGATTACAGGCGTAAGCCACCACACCTGGCCCCAACAAAGGTTTTAAAGGACTCACTTCTCTGTTTCATCCTTTCAATTGTCTATGACTACCAGTGAAGTAAGATGGGTCAGGTTATGACTTATAACTTCTGTTCTGTTCCCCAAAATCCTCATTATTAAGTACTTTTCCCAGTAATCTTTTTTCCTCGTCTCTTGCTTTATAAATTGTTATGTTGGTGGAGAAGCAGAACTTCTGGTGGATAGTATTCTGGTTTTCTGGGGTTGCATTTTTTTATATTATGTACTTTGCTTTCATGTCAAACTTTTATTTTACTTTATTTTTTCACATTTTTTTATAGAGATGAGATTTTGCCATGTTGCCCAGGTTGGTCTCCAACTCCTGGACCAAGCAATCAATCCACCTTGGCCTCCCAGAGTGCTGGGTTTACAGGCATCAGCCACCTCACCCAGCCCTAATTTTTTTTTAAATGGCTTTTTCTGGCCAGGTGTAGTGGCTTATGCCTGTAATCCCAGCACTTGGAGAGGCCAAGGAGGGACGACTGCTTGAAGCCAGGAGTTTGAGACCATCCTGGGCAACATAGCAAGACCCTGTCTCTACAAAACATGAAAGAATTAGCAGGACATGGTTGTGCACACCTGTAGCCTTAGCTACTTGGGAGGTTGAGGCAGGAGGATTACTTGAGCCCAGGAATTTAAGGCTGCAGTGAGCTATGATCATACCACTGCACTCCAGCCTCAGTGACAGAGCAAGACAGTCTCAAAATAAATATATATTTTTTAATGGACTTATCTTTCCTGGTTTAAGGCCCTTTCCCACAATTTCTGAAATACAGGAACCTTGCCATTATTCTTACTGCTGGTTTGCATCCTATTTATGATATATCTGGAATTCCTTCTCATGAACAGAAAGATTCAGTGGCTATTATATGCCTTGTCAATTTAATGTATTGCCCTGTCCCCTTTTTTGACCAAAGATGGAGACTAAGACCGGGAATTATGGCTGAAAAAGTCATATTTTTCTTTAAGTGACTTTGAAATGTTAAAATAGGCTACTATGAGTCAAAGTGCAAAGTTTTCAGTGAGTAGGTTGACCAAAAAAAAAAAAAAAAATCCAGGAAGAAAACCAGTTTTTGTGGGTCCTAATTCTTTTCTGTTTGCCTAATGAACTATTCCCTCTATTTTATTGTTTATGCTACAAAGTCCCGTCTTCTGCAGTTACAGAAACATGTAGCAGTATGTTTTAGTGATTATCTCATAATCTGTAGCACTTTTCACTTTAAGTACAAGAATAGTCCAGATTCATTCACAGTGCATAAAGCAGTGCATACAGTACATAAAGTGTATTACTGATGCACTTCCATATGACTTTTTTTTTTGAGACAGTCTTGCTGTTGCCCATGCTGGCAGGCTGGAGTGCAGTGGTGCAATCTCGGCTTACGGCAACCTCTGCCTTCCGGGTTCAAGCGATTCTCCTACCTCAGCCTCCTGAGTAGCTGTGCCTGGCTAATTTTTTGTAATTTTAGTAGAGACAGGGGTTCACCATGTTAGCCAGGATGGTCTCGATCTCCTGACCTCATGATCCACTTGCTTTGGCCTCCCAAAGTGTTGAGATTAAAGGCATGAGCCACCATGCCCAACCCTTTTTTATTTTGTGAGACGGGGTTTCACTCTTGTCACCCAGGCTGGAGTGCAATGGCGTGATCTTGGCTCACTGTGACCTCTGCCTCCCAGGTTCAAGCAATTCTGCCTCAGCCTCCCGAGTAGCTGGGATTGCAGGCACCTGCCACCATGCCTAGCTAATTTTTATATTTTAAGTAGAGATTTCACCATGTTGGCCAGGCTGGTCTCAAACTCCTGACCTCAGGTGATCCACCTGCCTTGGTCTCCCAGAGTGCTGGGATTATAGGCATGAGCCACTGCGCCTGGCCCCTGCCCCCCTCCCCTTTTTTGAATCAGAGCCTCACTCTGTCACCCATGCTGGAGTGCAATGGTGCAATCTGGGCTCACTGCAGCCTCTGCCGCCACAGTTCAAGCGATTCTCATGTTTCAGCCCCCAGAGTGGCTTTACAGGTGCATGCCACCAAGGCCTGGCTAATTTTTTTTTTTTTTTTTTGAGACGGAGTTTCACTCTTGTTACCCAGGCTCTGCAGTGCAATAGTGCGATCTCGTCTCACCGCAAGCACCACCATGCCCAGCTAATTTTTTGTATTTTTAGTAGAGACGGGGTTTCACCACGTTGACCAGGATGGTCTCGATCTCCTGACCTTGTGATCCACCCGCCTCGGCATCGACCTGGCTAATTATTATTATTATTATTATTATTTTTTTTTAAGTAGAGACGGGGTTTTGCCATATTGGCCAGGCTGGTCTCAAACTCCTGATCTAAAGTGCTGGGATTACAGGTGTGAGCCACTCCGCGCCCGGCATCGACCTGGCTAATTATTATTATTATTATTATTTTTTTTTTTTAAGTAGAGACGGGGTTTTGCCATATTGGCCAGGCTGGTCTCAAACTCCTGATCTAAAGTGATCCACTCACCTCGGTCTCCGAAAATGCTAGGATTACAGGTGTGAGCCACAGTGCCTAGCCTGAGATTACCTTTTTTTTTTTTCAGAAAGTGATTTATTTAGGCAGAGAAAGAAAAAAGAAGGGGAAACAGCTAGCTCTCACACTGAATGAGGAGAAAGAAAAGCCAATTTCACACTGAGTGAAAAGGGTTCCCAGAGGGGGAAAATTAGGGAAGGAAAGCTCCTCTCACACTGATTGAGAGAATTCAGAAGGATGTAATCCAGGAGAGAGAAAGCAGCTTCGATGAAGGTAGTAGAAGGGCAGCCTGAGACTGCTTTTTGATGGTGCCCACTCAAGGGAATGAGGAGGCAAGGCAAGAGATTTAAGCCACAGGTGTCTGGCTAAATCAAAAGCTTAGTCAGATTTGGGGGGATGCATTGAAACCCTTGTATTGCTGTGGTTTGAACATACAGTCTAATGAGCAGGGAGACGATTAGTTCTTTCTGGGGCAGTAGAACAGGAAAGAACACCTTGGAGACCTTACAGTTACTCTAGTTGTAAGGTATTAATGAGTTATCACAAGAGAAGTTCCACAGCTTATCAATATATATCTATACCTACATCTACATATCTATCTATATAGATATTACATTAGATGCCTCAACAACTAGGGTCCACACTTAATATACTGACATCTAAGGATGTAGCCAAGAAAAGTTGTAATTAGTCTGAATTTCATTACCAAAGTTGTTCTTTTTTCATTTAATCCTTTTTTTTCTTTTATCACCAAAGGCACTAGACTGGATCATTTAATCTTTCAATAAAAGATGATCTTCATAAATTATGGAAAGTTTGCTTATCCTGTTTGACTTTTTGCAGAAAAGAACAAGAGGGAAGACAGACCTTCAGGCTAGGTGCAGTGATTCATGCCTGCAATCCCAGCATTTTGGGAGGCCAAGGTGGGAGGATCACTTGAGCCCAGGGATTAAAGACCAGCTTGGGCAACATGGCAAAACCGCATCTCTACAAAAAAAACAAAAATTAGCTAGGCATGGTGTGTGTGCCTGTAGATCCAGGTAATTGGAAGGCTGAAGTGGGAGGATTGCCACTGCACTGCAGCCTGGGTGACAGAGTGAGACCCTGTCTCAAACAAAACAAAACAAAATGCCTTCAAAAATATATCTTCAGAAGGCTGAGGCAGGAAGATTCCTTGAGCCTGAGAGTTTGAGGCTGTAGTATGCTGAGTGTGCCTGTGAGTAGCCATTGGGCAATGTAGTGAGATGCCTGTCTCAAAAAAAAAATGTTAAAATTTGATATAGGAAGCACTGACAAGTCAAATGCAGAACTGATTTCTAAGCTTGCAATCTATCTAAATGCAGATGCTGATTTACAGTGCATAATATGTATTATACAAGTACAGACTTAGGACTTAAATTTCATTTTGTGCAATAAAAAGGTTAAGTGATGGTTAAGCAAGGTGTGGAATTATCCTTACCTCTCCTGTCTAATCACACAAGCTTACACTGGCATTCCTTTGGCACTTTCACATATAAAGTGGCAGGTGTTTTTGAATAACTGTTGCTGGAGACTCAGGCCTGCTTTGTGCTTGGTGCTTCCCAGACTTTCTCCTTTATCCCTATCACCATATAAGTACTCACAAAAGAGCAGTGTAAACCAGGTGTTACATTTCCACAAAAGAAAGAACCAGGAATAGCCACATGATACTTATTAACTGAAAGCTTCACTTTCCCTATGGAGAAAGCAAGCAACATGAATTTTCTGATTTGGGGTATACTCACTGCAGGTTGGTGTTATTGGTATTAGAAGTGTCTGATAGGAATCTGTTTGAGAGTGGAGGTGGAGTACAAGGCTGATTCCTTCATTACTGCAAGTATTGTTACTTTCTATTATCTCAGGTTTCGTTTTGTATAATAAACTGCTTCTTGTTAAATGTCTTCTTGGTTATTTTCTTGGGGGGTGAGTGTAATAAAGTTGGAGATTTGTGAAAAAGTTTCAGGTCAGGTGTGGTGGCTCACACCTATAAATCCCAGCACTTTGGGAAGCCAAGGTAGGAAGCTCATTTGAGCTCAGAAGTTCAAGAGCAGCCTGGGCAACATACAGAGACTCCATCTCCACAAAAAGAAAAGAAAAGAAAGAAAAACTTAGTCAGCTGGGTTTGGTGGTGTGAGCCTGTGGTAACAGCTACTCCAGCAGCTGAAGCAGGAGGATCAACAGGGCAAGGCCAAGGCTGCAGTGAGCTAACCTGGGTGACAGCAAGACCCCCATCTCCAAAAATAAATAAATAACACTTGTTCATTTAACAAGTATTTATTGTCATTATTCTAGGCACTGTGGATTCAGCAATGAACAAGATAGACAAGTTTCCTTCTTTCATGCTTACATTTTTAAATGAGTTTTAGGGATAGGTGAGGCCATAAACAGTAAGTCAATTCAGACTGTGATAGGTGCTATGAGGAAAACCAGTTGATGATGGTAGGGTGTGAGAAGTCAGGGAAGCCCTCTGTGACATCAACTGAGACTTAAGGAAAGAAAAATAACCAGCCACGCAGATGTGAGTGGGAAGATTCCAAACATCTGTAATAAGTGATTTTTAACACACTGAATTTACAAATCCAAATAAATGTTGCTCCTCCAAAGTAGTCATCTTATTAGCTATAGGCTTGTTTATGGTTATATTACCAAAAACATTTCTTGGAACTTATTTGGAAATGCTTTGAGAATATGCTGCACATCTTTGGAATGAGTTTTGTAAATAGCCAGAAGTCACTTGAGAACCACGTCTGGCCAGGTGCAGAGGCTCATGAATGTAAAGCACTTTGGGAGGGCGAGGCAGGAGGACCGCTTGAGCCCAGGAGTTCGAGACCAGCCTGGGCAACATGGCAAAACCCCGTCTCTACAAAAAATAAGGAAATTACCCGGGCGTCGTGCCTTGCACTTGTGGTCTCAGCTACTCAGGAGGCAGAGGCGGGAGGATCGCTTGAGTTCAGTAATTTGAAGCTGCAGTGAGCTATGAACGTGCCAATTGCACTCCATTCTGGGCAACAGAGAGACCCTGTCTCAAAAAAACGTCTGGCGAAGCAGCACAACTGAAGGTCCAAGTCTGTAAGACTGGCGAGAGGACTAAAAAAGACGATGAATTCCAACGTGTTTAAGCTTCATCCTACCAACTGAGATTGCTACAAATGAGCAAACCGTATCTAATACCATTAGTAGCAGTTGTTATAAAATGAAATAAGTAATTTTTCCTTGAGGCTTTGGAGTGGTCCTAAAGGTAGTGAAAAACGACAGTTCTTGCAGGTTTATTAAAACAAAAATCTTTCCCAACCTAACATCTTAAAGTCTCAAATTTTGACTCGCCTTCCCCGACACCCGCAACCCCACCCAATCATCCTTAGACTACGTTGGCTACCACCAGAACAGTGTCCCCTTACCAGAGCCCTTTCCTGGAAATCCCTGGCCCGGTAGTGCCCCCAGGCTTCAGGGCCCGGAGCCCATCATGGGGAAGCCTCAGTCGGCGTACGAACCCAAAGAGTCTCCTCCTAACCTGCTGACGAGTACGAACCCGCCGCTGTACGAACCCAGCATCGCAGCAGCCCCGGCCAAGAAAAAGAAGGAGGTGGCCGCCAGCAAACCATCGCGTCTTTCCGGAGCTACGCACCGATTCGTCGGGCCCGTAGGGGTCACGCGAGGTCACGCAGGGAACCGCAAAGCCTGCCGGGAGCTCCGTGCGCGATGGCTACACCCAGCCTGCGGGGCCGCCTGGCTCGGCCTTGGAACTCGCGGAAACCTGTACTGAAGCCCAATAAACCCCTCATTCTATCTAACCGAGTTGGGGAGCGGCGCCGGGAAAAGGGCGGTGAGCAGTCAGAGCCAGGAGGGCCGCGGAGCAGAAGCCGGAGCGTGAGCAGGGGCGGGTGGGTAGGAGGGTAGGAAGGTTAAGGACTTCTTGTGATTGAAGGTCCCCCGGATCTGCCCCTCCAGAGGCGACTTGTATCACGGAGATGTCGGTGATGATGGCTTGCTGGAAGAAGAATGAATTCCGTGACGATGCGTGCAGAAAAGAGATCCAGGGCTTCCTCGATTGTGCCGCGAGGTCTCAGGTGACGGATGTTTCCTGGGGTGCTTTCTCAGGAAAAGAATGGGGGAGATACAAATAATGATTCTCCCTGCCTTTTGCTAGGAAAGGTCCTTTCATTCATTTGGGAGATATATCACTCACGCCAAAGTGGGAAAGGTTACAGTTTTGAAGGCTGTGTGATCTAGACGGATTTATTCATTGCTGTGAGCTTTAGCGTTACTGTACCCAAAACGAGGTTAATACTAATACCTACCTTACAGAATGTTGTGTCAGATGAAGTAATGAATGAGAAAACCATTTTGAAAAATTTAAATTGCTGCTCAAGTAGACATTGTCTGAAATAGAACTAAAGAGACTAAAACTAAATCATGACAATTGTTTGGTTTCCAGCCTAGGCTTAATTGGTAGCTGAGATAGTAGCTTCTGAGCATAGTCTCATTTGTAGGTCCCAACGCCCTTTTGTTGAAAGGCGGCTGACATAGATTTCTCCAGGCTAGTTAACATCTTCATGTGCATTAGGGCATTGTGAGAACCATGGGCTTAGGTCAGGACAAACTTGATTGATTTGATTTTTGGGGGGTCAGGTCTTAAAAATCTGGACTAGGCAAACTTTAGAGCTGTCATTCTTGTATTTGTTCTGTGTTTTCAGGAAGCCCGAAAGATGAGATCAATACAGCAAACCCTGGGAGAGTCTGGGGGTTTACCTCCAAAGAAATTGAATAAGTTGTTGCAGAGGTTTCCTAACAAACCTTACCTCAGCTGAAAATGGAGAAGCATTTTCAATGACTGAACTATAGCTTCTGACAACAGAGGCATTTTAGAGATGTTGGCATTGCCATGCTGTCTTTGGAAGGTAGAAGAGGCAAAACACTTTTTTCACCCTTTGGAATCATAGTATGGGTAGAAGTTATGATTTATCTTGAAATAAAATCCTCTGAAGAGAACTTGGCCTTTTGTCTTGAATTAGGTACTCCCTCCATGCTTGAAGGGTTTCCTCCCCTAGACCCAGGAAGTTCTTTCCTTCCTGATTTGCCCTACCTTTGTCTTATCTTTCCCTGCATTTGAAGTCTTTTATACACCATTTAGTGCCCTTGCCTTTGGATACAATAAGGAAATTGAAGTTTGCTATCATCTGTAAATACTTAGTGATTGCCTATTTTGTGCATAGCCCCTGCAAGGTGCTCTCTGAATAATCAAGTTAACAAACTGGTAACCTCTGGTGACCTGGAGGTTCTGCAGATGTACTTTATTTGACCCATGCAGTTAAAAAACGTTTTTAAAAAATATTTATTTATTTATTTATTTTATTTATCTTTTTTTAAGACGGGTTTTCACCATGTTGGTCAGGCTGGTCTTGAACTCCCGACCTCAGGTGATCTACCTGCCTTGGCCTCCAAAGTGCTTGGATTACAGGCGTGAGCCACCATGCCCGGCCAAAAAAAAGTTTTAAAATTAGCTGGTCATGTTTAAAAATGGGAAAAAAAGTCATTAAAATTCCACATTTTGGCTGGGCGCGGTGGCTCAAACCTGTAATCCCAGCACTTTGGGAGGCCGAGGTGGGTGGATCACGAGGTCAAGAGATTGAGACCATCTTGGTCGACATGGTGAAACCCCGTCTCTACTAAAAATACAAAAAATTAACTGGGCATGGTGGCACGTGCCTGTAATCCCAGCTACTCTGGAGGCCGAGGCAGGAGAATTGCCTGAACCCAGGAGGTGGAGGTTGCGGTGAGCCGAGATTGCGCCATTGCACTCCAGCCTGGGTAACAAGAGCGAAACTCCGTCTCAAAAAAAAAAAAATTCCACATTTTAGCTTTATTCATTTATTTAAGACGGAGTCTTGCTCTGTTGCCCAGGCTGGAGTGCAATGGCGAGATCTCAGCTCACTGCAAACTCCGCCGCACAGGTTTAAGTGATTCTTCTGCTTCAGCCTCTTGAGTAGCTGGGATTACAGCCACCCACCGTCATGCCTGGCTAATTTTTGTATTTTTAGTAGAGATGGGGTTTTGTTGGCCAGGCTGGTCTCAAACTCCTGACCTCAAGTGATCCACCTGCCTTGGCCTCCCAAAGTGCTGGAATGACAGACATGTGCCACTGTGCCCAGCCACTTGTTTTTTTTTTTTTTTTTTTTTTGGAGGCAGAGTCTCACTGTTGCCCAGGCTGGAGCATTGTACAGTGGCAGGATCTTGGCTCACTGTAACCTCTGCCTCCCAGGTTCAAGGGATTTCCCTGCCTCAGCCTCCCAAGTAGCTGGATTACAGGTGCCTGCCACCACACCTGGCTGGTAGTATTTTTAATAGAAATGGGGTTTCACCATGTTGGCCAGACTGGTCTCCAACTCCTGGCCTCAGGTGATCCACCCACCTTGGCCTCCTAAAGTGATGGGATTACAGGTGTGAGCCACCGCAACTGGTCTCACTTCTTGTTGTTGTTGTTGTTTTTTAAATAAAATTAAAAGCTCTTGCAGCCTTATTATTTCCATCTGGCAGTTAGGTAGAGGTGATTATCATTTGTTTGCATTCTCCAGTGACCTCACCACTGGACTTTCCAAAATGGTGAGACAGAATTAACAATTGCCTTCTTTGTTTATTACCTGTTTATTTCTCTAACGTTATCTGCCTGGTTGCTGAAGGCATTCACTTATGTGATTCCCCTGATATTAGGAAAAATTGCATAGCATTTTATGTATACTCTGTCCTTTCAGGAATAATTGAATTAGTTTTTTAATGTATTTTACAGTGTTAAATGTGGGACAAACATCGGTGCTTTTAATGCACCAATGGGCTAATTATTAAGGTAGGAAGGGGTCTTGCCTCCCTGATCCACTGACAGCTGTCTCTTCCCACGCTGTT